TGTTAGCCACCATACATGCTTAGTGCTTGCTGCAGCTCCACCTCACTACCTTCTCCTACCCATAAGCTTAAATAGTCTTGATCTCGCGGGTGTGAGATTACTGAGTCCTCGTGACTCACAGATACTTCCAAACAGTTGTAGGTGCCGATGATACCAGTGCAAGTGACGCAACCGAGCTCAAGTGGGAGCTTGATGAAAATCGTGTTCGTTGTGTTGTTTCATTTCCAGTTGATCAGTAGTGGAGCCCAGTCGGGAGGATCGGGGATCTATTGCATTTGGGGTTGTCTTTATTTTGGTTCCGTAGTCGGGCCTTGATTGTATCTGGATGATGTAATGCTATACTTATGTATTGTGTGAAGTGGCGATTGTAAGCCATCTCTTTATCCCTTTCTTATTCAGTACATGGGATGTGTAAAGATTACCCCTCTTGCGACATACCTACTATGTGGTTATGCCTCTAAGTCGTGCTCCGACACGTGGGAGATATAGCCGCGTCATGGGTGTTACAAGTTGGTAATCAGAGCCTTCCCCGACTTAGGAGCCCCCTGCTTGATCGAATCGCTGGCGTTGTTAAGTCTAGGAAAAAGTTTTGAGTCTTATAGGATTATATATATCGGAGAGTATGATTCTTTTTACTCCTCAGTCCCTTCATCGCTCTGGTGAGGCCTCCTGACGTAGAGTTTTGACTCTTCTCTTCTCAAATTTCACGATTTTTTTAGGATCACGCGGGTATCTTGGAATCGTTCCGATGGTGTTGTGACAAGAACATTGTTCTTGGTGCCTCCTGGCATTTAGGGGTTGTGGCAGTGTCCCGGGGAGTTGAGCTCCGAGGTGTTGTCGTCACAATTTTATCGTTGCAGTTCTGGAATACCTGAGTTTCACCGACATCGAAAATCTCTTTTATGCAGTTGTTGGTGAGATAACCTCGACGCCACCCAGTACTAGGGCGGGAGTTCGGGAGTATTGCCATAACTCGTATAACAGATGCTTTTCGAAGGTTGAGGTAAATGATTTCCGAAGGTTTCTTGGTTATGTGTTGAAGGATGGATACAGTTGGATGTAGGATTTGCTAGTTTTGGGTGAGATATTATGCTTCCCCTGTATCCCCAACACCTGATTGCATAACCAGAAAGTTTTGGGAGTTTATAAGTGGGAATTCAAGTAGCTCCTAGAATATCTTTCCAACAGACACATGATACGATACGGGATCTATCATATGTTTGTTTCCGGCTTATTTTGCAAGCCAATCCTTTGTCTTGTTTTTGAGTTGTGGTATTCGAGTTGCTTCGAGGTCAAGTATTGATTCCATACCTTCCCTAAGCGGTGTTCTCATATTTCTATGGGAATACTAACCCTTTTCGATCATCAAGGTGGTCATGCCAATTCTTTCCCAACCGGTGTGTTTCTCTTCAAGTGGATCCGATCATTTCAACATTTGCAAGATTCAATCTCAGTTTTCGTCAACGGTGTTTGTTTCATCCATCTCCAACTTGCCTTTGTTTTTCCCGCCCGCCCACCCTTTTCCTTCAAGGACTCAGATTTCTTAATCAAGTATCAATTTCATTCATGTGAAGACTCTTCATCCTTTTCCTTCAATGTTCTTACCTGGTGATTCTCACGAAGATGCTAAGGAAGCTACAAGTTCATCATTCTTCGTTCTCTTTCTTCTCCGGTGGATTCAATTCAAGATTTTGGTGTTGATCATATCCTTTAACTCGTTTCAAATGTTTTCCATGCTGGTGCACCTCATTATCATTCCACTTCTCGCTATTCAATTGTTCCAGAGTGTTGAAGATATCTCGAAGACTCAAGTTTCCATTCTCAATACGCTCAAGTCCTTTTGAGGATGTTATCTCATTCAAGCCATTTAAATCAACCGGTGCAATCTCCTTTTCAAGTAATCGTTCTATAGTGTATCTTTTGAGTGGGCCCTAACCCACATGTCTTTTCCCAGGTTCTTACCCGACTCTTCTAATTTTACCGGAGTTATTCTCAAATTTTTCAAAGTTTGACGTAAGAATGAATTGTCATCAGTCAAATGTCTTTCTCCAAGATCTGTCAAATTCTTTTCATCGTTCATTCAACCTTTCTAATTTTCATCCCGGAGTATCTCAACAATGCATGACGGTGTTTCTCATAGTCATTCTCAACATGTGAAGACCGAAGAAGATTTTTCTCTCAATCTTGCTCCATTCTCTTCAAGATTCGTCATTTTAACTTGTTGCCATCCTCTCATAATTGTTTTCGATCGTGAGAATTCTTTTCACCCATCCGGAGTAATTCAGGAGTATTTTTCAGTCCGGTTATCCAGAGTCCATCATTTCATAAGAATTGTTCATTCCAGCTTTCAGCTCTCATTCTCGAAATCTTACCGGTGCATCATTCAACTATTCTCTAATCAGCTCAGGATCTCTTCGTTCGCTTGCATCTAAATTCTCTCAAGTATCTTCATTCATTTCATAATTCTTCGCGGTGTTCCTTTATCTTTTCTTCAGTCATTTTAATTCTTACGGTGGCTCTTCCAAGATTCTTCTTATTTCGTTTATCATAGCAATTCATTCATTCTGTCAAATCCTACCGGTGGTTCGTTGAAGACCTTCTCAAGTTTTCGCTATATCTATCTTAATCCTTTCAACGAGAATAAGTAGTATGCCAAATCCGTTGATTGTCATCAATTTAATTGATGATGGATAAGCATAATGTAATTCTTATTCTTGTTTCATCGAGTAAATTCAATTCCTTATTTCGGAGGTTCATCAAAATTCTTGATTTCACTTGTTCATCTTTCTTTCCGGAGTTCCAAGTTTTTTTTCTCGGTTATAGCATCACGAAGCTCCATTTAATCAATGCAAGGATTCATCTTATTCTTCTCAAGCTTCTTTTTCTTGCGACCTTCTTTTATCTATCCGAAGTTCTTCATGGAGGCTCTACATCGTTGTTCGTCAAGGATTCTTTTCATTCTTTAATTGTCCTCAAGATTTCTCTCGGAGTTAAGATCCGCCAAGCTATACTCTAGAATAAACATGTTGCTCAACACATGTTTTGTCTTGAGGAGTTTAAGTATTCTTCATCTTGCATTCCAAAGCACAATTCTTTCTACCTTATCTTTTGAGGTGGAGTTATGTCATTCTTGAAAATTTGAGTTCGTGTTTCATGATTCACATGTTGTCAAGAATGAGATATTTTAAATCCATCAATCTCTTCATTGGAGTTATATTGGGTTATATTTCACCTAAAGCTTTCCCTAAGGATTGTTGCTATTTATAGTGCTCATAAATGACCCAAGTTCTTCATTTATCCTCCCGGTGAAATAATTTTTTCGTCTCCTTGTTCATATCGATCCAATCTATTGTTTCCTTTAGTGGCAGAATTTCACCTCAGTTTTCAGATGTTTTCCATAAGCCCACAACAAGCTTACTCTTTTCGTTGTTGGTTTTCTAACAACACTGTTCAAAATTTTCTTCGTAAGCATGCTCTTTCAATTTTATTTGCGAGAGTTGTCATTTTCTTCTCAATTCTTTCCTTTCCAACGATCCAACTTCTATTCTTTCGTTCCGGAGGCATTGTGATGTTGCTCTTTTCACTCATCATCTACAATTGTGAGGACCGTGTTCTTTCCTTTCTTTATCCATTTAACCGGAGTGTCGTGTTTTCATTCGAGCTCTTTCATCTTATCAAGTTTTTGCCTCTACTCTCAACCGGAGTGCTGTCTGAAATCTTTCTCACCCATGGTGTCATTCTTTCAATATTTCCGGAGGCAGTGTGTTCTTGATTTCATCAAGTATCCTCTCATCTTGTCAAGATCATGTTCGTTTCCTTCCATTTAACCGAAATGCTGTCCGAATTTGTTCTTCCTTGTTCCTCTTTGCTAACGGAGTGTTTTCAACTTTGTTCATCTTCCTGGTATTCTTTCTTTAAAGTTGTTCAACCTCTCAAGGTTCTTTGGTTTCACTCGTTTGTCAAAGAAGCAACTTAGTTTTACCTTTTATCTTCCTCTTCATTTTCCCTCCGGTGCCATCCTAGATCTCGGAACGAGATCCTCTCGTAGTGGTGGAGTGTTGTAACGCCCCGAGACCGATGTGCCAGGTGTCTTCCAGTTATTCGTTGTTGTTGCCTTGTCATTTGTTTGCATGTCATGCATTTCATATCATGTCATCATGTATCATATCATTAATTCTTTTGCAACTCAAGTAAATAAATCGTATGGATCTTCGGTCCATTTAAATTGAGGGAATTCACATGGTGATTTCTCTATATAACATATCCCCCCAATATATTAGGGAGCTATAATAAATATTCCATTCTTTTGGAATTAACCATAACACACTTGCATTTTAGTTCCATGCCTCTTCTGCTTCAAGTTTCACCTCCAAACCTTGCCGACAATTGTTTCTCCTTTTATCGAGGGTCCTCCAAAATCCTCAACATTTTTGCACACCCCTATAGCCTAGCCTCCATTCAAACTCCTTTGGCTCAAGTCAAATAAGTTTGAATTTAAATTCTCCTAACTTGTTGAAACCACTTTTGTTGAGTTGAAAATATTCCTTTAAGCCATACAAAAATGTCCCATAATTTTGTTCTTATCCATGGCCTCTTCTCTTAAATCTTTTGGCCTATCTCTTTTGCTGAAAAGAGAATAAGAGAGAGAGAGAGAGAGAGAGAGAGAGAGAGAGAGAGGAGCCCAACCAGTCTATCAGGCCACCTGGGCCTCCCAACCTCCCCACAGTCCCTAGGCGCAGCCCTCCCTCTCCTCTAGGCCCATCCTTCCCCGCTGCCCACCTGGGCCTCACAAACTCCTGGGCCGGCCTCCAAGGCCCAGCCGAACCCTAGGCCCCCGATCCCATCTAACCCCTCCTCCTCGTTCCCTCGCGCCGCCAGAGTCAGCGAGACCTGCTGCTTCTCCCTCGATCCCATCGCCCCCGCTGCCTCCATCCTCGCGTCTCCCATCGCCGTCTTCGGCGGGAGCAGGAGCTCCCTGCTGTCGCTCCGGCCGACGGAGTCTAAGCCGCCGAGCAGCACCGCACCCTCGTCCCATTCCCCTCTGCCTCCTCCTCGTTGCCGGACCAGCCGCCGGACCAGCAGGAGGCCACCACTGTCATGAACGCCCACCAGACCTCCACCAACGGCCTCTCCTTCGCCTTGCTACTCCTCTGCCTCAACTCTGGCCAGATCGACAAACAACAAGTCCATGGAGCCTCCTCCCCGTGCTCCTTCACCTCGCCTCGTCGTTCGAGGACCGGCGCCGCCACCGGCGACCACGAGGCAGGAGACCGCCATGGATGCCCGCGGCCCCGCCTTCCTGTGTCTAAACCTCGCTGTTCTCTGTCAGCCTCCTCCCTGTGCAGAGGAGCTCCTGCCCGAGCCGTCACTTTCCTGCCTAGTCCATCGCCACCTGTTCTCCAGCCCTACCGAGCTCCATGGTCGATCCCCTCTACTACCGCCATGGGTGTTGACCACCCGCTGCGTCCTCGCCTCGCTTCACCTCGCTGCAGCTCCTTCTCACTGCCGGCTGTTGGTTTTAATCTGACGGCTTAAACAAGCCAGTTAGATCTATTAGTCTAAAAAAAAGGAAAAGATAACATTAAAGGAAAAGGCCCCACGCACCAACGTACGTGGGCTTTTTATCCCAACTGAGACGCCCTGATCGGGGGCACCCAAACCAATTGATGTTTTAGGTCCCCTGTTGCCAGCGCTACATAAAAGGGAACGGGAGAGGGTTGGCAGCCTGCGCGATCACAATTCACGTACGGTTTCACTCCCCTCCCGATATTCTCTCACCCCATCCGATCAGGGGGAGCGCTGCAGCGACGGGAAGACCTATTCCAGCCGCCGCTGCCGTCGCCGGGCAGTGCCGGTGGCGTCCTGAGGGCATCAGGGCGTTGAGGAGGACTTCTACCTCGACTACATCACCTCTGCATCAAGCCTGCACCAAGCAGGCGATCATGTCCACTGCCGTGACACGTAATGATCCCCTAAACCTTTTCTCTGCTCATGTTTTAGGTGTTCTAGATGCAATCTGTTCCTGCTAATAGCATCCCAGAGATGCATAATTATGCCAACAATGGTATCAGTCGCCAGATATGATTGCTTTTAGATCCCTATATCATGTTCAGTAAACCAATCTCAAGTTTAGGCCCTCTGTAGATCAAGTTTGATTGCTACTGTTTTTTGATGTTGATGTCAATTGCCCACTGTTGATGATGTTTTAATTCCAATTTGCTACGGATCAGTAGTGCCACCTAAGTTCATCAATTCTAATTAATCTAAGTTAAGATCTAATGCTCACCTTCATGTTAAGTTGATTAGTATTGATCATGTTTAAGTCATGTTTCCGTATGCATTATCAACATAGAAGGCAGAGGGATACACGCACGTCAACAGTAGCAACCCCTCATGTGTAAGAACCCTAGATTTTTTCCCCCAAATTCGTAAGAACCCTAATTCTGCAATTAGGAATGTTTTCCCCCAAATCAAGCACTGATGTACACGATTTGAAAAGAATGAGGAGAATCCTCACCTAACACGCCGCGTACTCGCCTCTTCCCTTCGGGGCCCGCGCAGCACCCACCGTTGCGCGAGGGCGAAGACGCCGCGACGCCGCCGTCCTCGGGACGACGCGCGGAACGAAGTGGCGCCGCCGCCGCTGCCGCTCAAATGGACGCGCCCTTGTTTGGCCGACGCCGAGCAAGTCGCCGTCGTTCCTCATGCCGCGGTGGCCGGCATCCCTCCACCCTCCTTGATGCGCCATGTGCACGGACGCTGGGGCCACGCTCGACGGGGGAGCGTGCGGGATTCATCCTGCTGCACGCTCCTCCGGCGAGCGCAGCCGCCGCGCCGCCATGGCCGGCGCGCCTCGAGCCGCCGTCGAACGCCATCGCCGCTCCCTGTCGAGCGTGAAATGCGGGGGGTCGAGGGGGAAATGAGCTAGGGTTCTGGCCGGGCGGCTGTTTTGTTCCAGCCGCGATCGACGCGGACCGTCGATTCCAATCGGACGGCCGGCAGCATCGCTCGGCTCCGCGCTGGGCCGGCGGACGCCAATGGGCCGATTCCGGCTGTGGGCTGCGGCCCAGGTTATGTCAGTCCAGCGAAAACACACACACACACAAAATTCTGGGTTGGGTCGTTTTACGTGTAGCTGTGGGGTATTTCGGGCCAAAATCACTGTCGCGATTTTCTGTTTTTCCAGTGCGTTTAAGTTAATAAATATTATGATTTGCACTGCTTAAACCAGAAAATGCGTAAAAATGTAATAAACACATTATTATTCTGGGTAAAATTGAACCAACGAGATATTTTATTCAGGATTTATTATGTGTTTTTGGATGATGAAGTTTTTTTTAGACATCAAATAATGATAATGTTTTTTTATGTTGATGTTTAAATTAAGAATGAAATGACTCTAATTTTAATTCGGACCAACATTGTTTTATTATTATGAGTCATCCCTTATGATATTTTAAATCCATGTTTTTTCTGCCCAACAGTGTTTTGACATGGAGTTGAAATTAAATACTTGGCATGTTTATTTATTTACCAACGTAAATTTATAATCATGCAACTTTACTTATGAACTTTTATGATGATTTCAGCTTCCGCTCCATTCCGGTCTGACACGATCGAACCACTTACGGAGAGTAACTTCCCTCGTTGGAAGTCCCAAGTCGAATTATGTTTGGGTTGTAATGAATTTGACTATGCCTTGAGGAAAGAAAAACCTGTGGCACCCGTGGCGGGTGTCCCAGGGTATGCAGAACTCAAGAAGGAGTATGATGTTAAGATGGAAAAGTGGAATAAGTCCAACCATATTGCGCTTCTCATCATGAAAGCGACAATATCGCCGGACATTTCTGAAGCACTCCCTAAGAAAGATACTGCTAAAGATTTCCTCACTGAAATGGAGGAGCAATTTAAAGGCTCCGACAAAGTGTATGCTCATGAGCTTTTTGCTAAACTTCTTCAGAAATACACTATTGACGGAAATGTTAGGCAGCACATATTGAGGGTGGTAAATGCTTTCACCAAGCTTAAGGCTTTGGAGTGTTCTTTAAGTGAAGCCCTTCTTGTCATAATTATTCTTGAGTCTCTTTCTGAAGAGTTTGAACAATTTAAGGTCAACTATAACTCTCTAAAGGAAAAATGGTCACTCTCTGAGATGACCGCAAGGATCGTCCAGGAGGAAGAAAGGATCATGAGGCAGAAAAAAGACCATGTCTTTCATGTTGGCTCTAACAAGAGAAAGCATGACGGACAAGGTTTCCCTAAGCCTCAGAAAAGGCAAGTCAAGAAAGAAGGCACTAAGCCATTCAACCCTAAGGCATTCAAGGGTAAAGAAGCCGGTGGTTCTTCTTCTGCTCCTAGCAGCTCCACTGCTGGAGAAAATGCTTGTAACTTCTGCAAAGAAGAGGGACACTATCAAAGGGACTGCCCAGGCTTTCTAAAATGGATGAACAAAAGATGTATTGATGAAATTACTTTTGTAGATGAATCACTTTATGTTGATTTTTCAATAAAGTCATGGTGGATTGATTCAGGGGCAACCACTCACGTTGCTAACTCTATGCAGGGATTCGATACGATCCAAACCATAAGAGGAGGAACAAGAAAGCTTAAGGTTGCGAACGGAGTTGAGGCCGATGTTGAAGCTGTGGGATCTCTCACGTTGGAGCTACACACTGGCCACACTCTTAGATTGAATAATGTTATTTATGTGCCTACCTTAAGTAGGAATTTGATTTCAGTTTCTCGTTTAGATGATGATATGTATGAGTGCCATTTTGGCAAGAAACAATTTGCTTTGATCAAATGTAATAAGAATGTAGGCATCGGTGTTAGACGAGGCCAACTATACATGCTATCTCTTCATAATGATTTAGTTATGCATGTGAGTGATGAAATTAATGTTGAGAAGAAATGGAAAGGAGTAAGTAATTCTTCGAAATTGTGGCATTGTCGTTTGGGCCACATTTCGAGGGGGAGAATGGAACGCTTAGTTAAAAATGAAATACTCCTCCCATTAGACTTCTCAGATGCAGACAAATGTGTCGACTGCATTAAAGGAAAATTTGCAAAAACAATTAAGAAAGGAGCAGTTAGAGCCACAAGGGTTTTAGAATTAATTCACACCGACATATGTGGACCCCTTAATATTAAGTCTGTAGATGGTTTTGATTCGTTCATTACATTCTCAGATGACTTTTCCCGCTATGGGTATATTTATCCCATACGTGACCGATCGGAAGCTTTGGAGAAATTCAAAGTCTATAAAGCGGAGGTTGAAAATCAACTGAACGCAAAAATCAAAGTTGTACGGTCTGATCGCGGGGGAGAGTATTATGGTAGGCATGCTCATTATGGGCAGATTCCTGGACCTTTTGCCAAGTTCTTATCTGAAAATGGAATCATTGCTCAGTACTCAATGCCTGGTAAACCACAACAAAATGGTGTGGCCGAGCGCCGCAACCGCACCCTTATGGATATGGTGCGAAGCATGCTTAGTCACTTGAGTTTACCAGTAAGCCTTTGGATAGAGGCATTAAAGACAGCTGCACACATACTAAATCTTGCTCCAACTAAGTCAGCACCTAACACACCTTACGAGATGTGGGCGGGAAAGAAACCGAGCTTGAATTACTTACGGGTGTGGGGTTGCCCTGCTGAAGCTAAAGTTTTCAATCCACAACTTAAGAAATTGGATCCAAAAACAGTTAGTTGTTTCTTCGTAGGATACCCTCATAGGGGAAAGGGATATCGTTTTTATTGTCCAAATCACACCACCAAGTTTGTGGAGACTAGACAAGTGGTATTTTTTTAGGATAATGAGATCACAAATTTAAGGGAGATCGATCTTGAGGAGAAGCGGGTTTGTGTACCATCCCCGACTATCCAAGAGATTGTTTTTCCAATACGAAGAAATGTGACATCTGATGATCTTGAATCTCACGGTTCAGTCTCTCAGTCGAATGGTGATCCAGAAACTAATAATGAGAATCCAAACACAAATGAGGATCTCCGAGAAAATAATGAAAATGATGATGTTCCACCACCACCTCCGCCCATGGGTAGACCACGGCGTGAGAGGCAGAAAGCCATATCAGATGATTATATCACCTTTTTGATGGAGGACATGAATGATATGGGAAAGGTGGAGGATCCAACCTCATATAAGGAAGCCATTAAAAGCGAAAAGTCGTCCAAATGGTTGGTTGCCATGGAAGACGAGCTGAAATCTATGGGCTCAAACGATGTATGGGACTTAGTAGAAGTTCCCGATGGAGCTA